CCCTTTATATTTATGACAGGTGCATTCTGGGCAGCTACCCCACAGAGCACCTCTTCCTCTTCTGCCACTAAGAGTTGTGGGAAGGTGGAGGGGGTCGCGGGGCATCCTGGGTCCTGTCCCAATGCTCCGTGATGCATTGCTTTGCATTCCAGCAATCCCTGTGCTTCCATCTGCATTTGGCGCCATCTTTCAACGGTTTGTGTACCGCGTGTGCTGCCTCTTCGGTCTGCAGGAATGGATCCCGCACTGCTGACCAATATGCTGCTCGTTCTCACTAACACGTCATGCGTGACAGTGGAGTTATTCCTTAATCTACAAAGGTAAAAGGAGTTTGACATTGATCTTGCCACGTGTAGTAGCTACGACACAAATTGCTTGTGGCATTCCCAGAGGTGCTGACCACAGTGGAACACCGCTTTTGGGCTTGGGAACCAAGCACTGAGTGGTGGGATCACATCGTCATGCACGTCGGGGATGATGAGCAGTGGCTGCAGAACTTTCGGATGAGGAAAGCCACATTCAAGGGACTGTGTGATGAGCTCGCCCCAGCCCTGCGGCGCAAGGACACGAGACTGAAAGCTGCCCTGCCATTGGAGAAGCACGTGGTGATTGCACTGTGGAAGCTGGCTACTCCAGACTGCTACCGTTCGTCGCTTAACAGTTCAGAGTGGGAAAGTCGACCCGTTGGACTCGTGTTGACGGAAGTGTGCAGGGCCATTAATCACATCCTGCTCCAAAAGACTGTGACTCTGGGCAATGTGTGTGACGTTGTGGATGGCTTTGCACAAATGGGCTTCCCTAACTGCGGAGGGGCGATAGATGGCACGCATATTCCAATTCTGGCACCAGACCACCTAGCCACCAAGTACATTAATCAGAAGGGGTACATTAATTGGAATGGTTCTCCAGGTGCTTGTGGATCACCGTGAGTGTTTCATGGACATTAACGTAGGCTGGTGTGGAAAGGTGCATGATGCATGCATCTTTTGGAACACTGGCCTGTTCAGGCAGGGTCTTCCGGACCAGAAGATCACCATAGGGGAAGTCGAAATGCTCACTGTGATCCTGGGGGACCCTGCCTATCCCTTAATGTCGTGGCTTATGAAGCCATACACGAGGCACCTTTACAGCAGTAAGGCATGGTTCAGCAACACACTGAGCAAGTGCAGAATGACTGTTGAGTGTGTGCTTTTGGCCATTTAAAGGCCCGCTGGTGCTGTCTATATGGGAGGCGGGACCTGGACCATGACAATATTCCTATGCTTATAGCCATGTGCTGTACGCTCAATAATATTTGTGAAGGGAAGGATGAAAGCTTCAGTCAGGGCTGGACCACAGAGGCTCAGCGCCTGGAGGCTGAGTTTGAAGAGCCAGAGACTAGGGCTATTAGAGGGGCGCAGTGCAGGGCCATAAGGATCAGGGATGGCTTGAGGCAGAATTTGAAGCTGAAAGCCACTAATATTTGTGGCTATGCTCAGGAGTGCAGTGCTTGTACTGCTAGGAGGTGATGGTGATTGGTGCAGATGATGCACTGTGAAGGTTTAAGAAAATTGCCTGTTGCTTTGCAGGGTTCTGTTTGCTTTCAATTAATAGAATAATTATTGCTTTCAAACCAAAACAATTCTTTTATTAAAAAATAACAACCAGAGGAGAGAGACAAACAAAAAAACACATCAGCACTGAGGGGGATGGGGGAAGGGAGGGTCCCAGAAGGAGGTGGGGTCCCGGGACAGTTAAAGATTTGTAAATGTCCAGGTATCCTATCCAACCTTCTCCTTTGGAGTACAGTGCAGCTGGTACTGTACTTCAGCAGGGCTAAACTGCAGAGGGACAGGTGTTGAGTGCAGTGGGTACTGGGAGTTCACAGGCTGGACTGTGATGGGGAGTAGAATGCCACGGGTACAGACTGGAACCAGGAGGTTGATAAGAGTGCGTTGACAGTGTCTAGGGGGCACATTGAAAAGAGTTTTGTGACAGTGGCTGGGAGGGGAGGGCGGGCACGGAGCTGCTCAGTTTGCAGTGCTAGTAGAGCCTGGATCTTGTCCACTTGGCACTCCATAATGTTTAAGAGCTGCTCTGTGGCTTCGTTCTGGCGTGCCGCATTCTCCTTTCGGTCCCTCTTCTCATTGTCCCACCACTCCTTCAATTCTTGGTTTTCAGCCGCAGAATGCATCATGACATCACCCAGAAAGTCCTCTTCAGGTCTTCGTGGCCGTTTTCTAATTCTGCGCAGCCGTTCAGCCGGCGATAACAAAGAGGGAGCCTGGGCTCCCAAGGTCATATCTGTGAAGCCAAAATGCAACATTTTACAGAAGCAGTATTGTTTGCAACACAGAGACCACTGATTCAGTGATTTAAAACACAGCCACTATTCACATCCTATCACTAACTGGCTGACCCCAGGCAAGCACACATGAGCCACAAGACCCCCAAAATGGTGAGTAACTGCTGGGACAGTGGAAATCAGTGTTCCAGGACCATACTGTACACTGGGCATGTGGCTCTTGGGGAGAGCCAGCACTTTGCGGGGGGGCCTTATAATCATTCCCGTCCCCACATTTTCCACAGGCTGTGTTCATTATGGAAGATAGCTTGCTGATGAGGGTAAACAGGAAATCAAGGGAGGGTCTTTTCCAAGACTGCGGCTTCCGCCCTGGCCTTTACACGGCTCGCCTGTGTGCAGTAATAGTTGCCTCACCCCTGCACCCCGTGATGGCAGAGTGGCGCAGGAAAGGTACCCTTAATGGAGCAAGAAACAAAGCATCTCTTCCAAAGAACCTGCAGCAGCGGGTTGCCCAGTATCTCCATGAGAGTTTCATGGAGATCTCTGAGGCAGATTCCTGTGAAGTGAGGGAGTCAATCAACACCTTGTTTTGCCGCTCTGAGTAGACATGTGGTGGTATATGCATCATACACAAGCCTGCTTTCTGCAACCCTCCTGCCTCCAACAACTCGCTTCAGCAATTCCCAAAATCAAAGCCACTTACCAGGGGCCTCCTCTCCTGTTTGCTCTTCACCAAGCTCCGACAGCTGTGACTGGCTAGTCTCCTCCAGGGTAGCGAAGAGCTCCTGGCTGCATGCATCTCTGACCTCCAAGTCATCCTCTGCCTCTGGGTCCCACTCCCACTCCACATCATTGTCCAAGATTTCCTCCTTCTGGCTTGGTCCACTCTCGACTGGCACGTGAGCCATGGAAGAATCCACAGTGGCCTTCGCAGTGGAGGTGGGGTTGCCATCGAGTATTGCATCCAGCTCTTTGTAGAACTGGCAGCTCATGGGCACAGCACTTGTGGTAGGCGTTCCACAGCTCCTTCACTTTGACCCTGCACTGCAGTGTGTCCCAGTCATGGCCCCTTTCTGTCATGCATCATGAAATCTGTCCATAGGTATCATAATTCCTATGTCTGGAGCGCAGCTGGGACTTGACAGCCTCCTCTCCCCAAATGCTGATGAGGTCCAGCAGCTCAGCATTGCTCCAAGCAGGGGATCGCCTGGTGCATGGAGCAGGCATGGTCATCTGGAAAGATGCGCTGAGACCACTGCACGTGTCACCAAGCCAACAGGAAGGGGACTTTCAAAATTCCCAAGGAATTTAAGGGGTGGGGCTCACGGTTGGTCTCCTGAGGGCAGGGCAGTAGAGTTCAAATCGATGACCAGAGAGGCAAGAACAGGCATTGTGGGACACCTCCCGGAGGCCAGTCGCAGTGCTGTAATTGACCCGGGTGTCTACACTGGCATTGCGGCACTGTAGCCCCAGCGCAGAAAGCTCCATGCCTCTCGTCGGGGTGGATTGTTACAGCCCTGCCACTGCAGTTTCTGTGCACAAAGTGGCTTGGCAGCGTGTACACCTCAGGAGTTACATCGCAGAAAGCTGCTTTACTGCCCAGAAACTTGCCAGTGTAGACAAGGTCTAAGGCATGTTGTCTAATCCTCTAATCATTCTTGTGGCTCTTCTCTGAACCCTCTCCAATTTATCAACATCCTTCCTGAACGGTGGGCACCAAAACTGGAGATAGTATTTCGGCAGCAGTCGGACCAGTGCCAAACACAGAGATAAAATAACCTCCCTGCTCTTAATCAAGATTCTTCTGTTCGTGCATCCCAGGGTCAAATTAGCTCTTTTGGCCACAGTGTCACCCTGGGAGCTTGGGAATTTCTGTGGCTGACTGGCAGGCGCATGCCATAGGCTACCCAAGAGCCTGGGCTCTCCACACTGCCTGATTTGGAGCAGAGACTTGCCCCCAAGTCTTCCACATCCCCAGAGAGTGCCCTAGTCACCAAGTGATTGGGCAGTCTGGGGAGCAGCTTTCACAGTCTCTCCTATTGAAGTCGTTCCCTTTGTATAAATAATGGGAACAGCTTCACCAGGCACGACTGAGCACCAGCGTCCCCGAATGCCCAATAGCCTAGTGGTTCGGTCACTCCCCTACCCTGCAGGAGACCTGGGTTCAAGTACTGCGCCAACTCAGGCAGAGCAGCAGGCCTCTCCCAGCCCGGGTGAGTGCCCTAACCATGGGGAAATGGGGCGGGGGGAGGCTCTCTCTAATTGGTTATGAAAAGCAGCTGACCTGGCTAAGGTGCCTAACTCCAGGAGAGGGTTCAGGATATTTATACCGCAAAGCTGTGGCTGCAGAAAACCCCTGTGAAAGACAGCCCGAAGATTTGAACATGTTAGAGTTGCCTGTAGGTGTACCCCTTCCTGTTGTGCTGAGTGCACAATTCCACACAGTTCCGTGCCCGACTGTCTCGATCTGACAGCTTTGGAAAATAAGACAAGTCAGATCTCCGTGTCCCAGACCCTGATCCGTTCAGTCGCTGCCCAGCCCTTTTTCTTTCGACTTTATAACACAGCAGCATGACAGCAATAGCTACAGCTAGTTTGCCTGGCAAAAGCCCCAACCCATTATAGAATGTGATTTGATGTCAGCATTTGCTGTAATGTTTTCCGGGTGGTTTTCATAAAAGCATGAAATGAATATTTATTATTTACTTCCATGCAGAATTTCCTACGATCCCACAAGGTATCCAAAGTACATTCCTGAAGCATACTGTCTCTGCCAGGGCTGTCTCACTGGGACTTACGGCGAGGAGAATTTCCACTTCCGCAGCACCCCAGTGTACATGCCAACCGTCATCTTGCGACGCACTTCAGCTTGTGCTGGGGGGCGCTACGTGTACACAGAGGATTACGTCACTATCCCTGTGGGGTGCACTTGTGTACCGGAGCAGGAAAAAGAGGCAGACAGTGTCAATTCCAGCATAGATAAGCAAGAAATGAAGTTGTTGGTAAACCAGAATGACAAGCCAGCATCTGAATGAGAAGCATTCAAGGAACCCTGTGTACAACAGTGGCTTCAAGTTAATATTTCACTGACTCAGGAGATTATATAGCAATAGGGGGGAAATCATTTTGTCTTTCTAACTACAACTGTTGCAGTTATAAGGAGGAGGCTGTGTTCAGTAGATTGTTACTCAGCCATGGCAGACAAGATGCATCGAGTAAGAAGGATCTTTTCAAAGTTCAGCTTCCTTAAGTTTGTATTGTTTAAAGTTAAACACAATTTTATTATATCCTTGCTTATTTTGGATGAATTTTTAGAAGAGGCTATAACCGTGTAACATACCAGCTACTTTCATAACAAACTACTGGTTGCAAATACTTTATAATAATTTTATAGTCTGCCTTTTGGTAATTCTATATAAAAGTCACTTAACTACGCCACATGTCCCATGTTAGCAGTAGAAAGGAAGCCAGTAATTCTGATTGCTGGGGTCCTCCTGTTACATTGCAGACTGTAAAAATCCAAGTGATATTCTTGGCTGTTACAACCATAGTTATTTAGAGTCTACAAAATGGGAAACTTTTACCACTTAGTATTTTTCAACTGTGTTGAATTGCTAAAGTCATTCATACAATACTCGATAAAAGGAGACACTCATAAGAACATAAGAATGGCCATACTGGGTCAGACCAAAAATCCAGCTAGCCCAGTGTCCTGTCTTCTGACAGTGGCCAATGCAGGTGCCCCAGAGGGAATGAACAGAACAGGTAATCATCAAGTGATCCATCCCCTGTCGCCTATTCTCAGCTTCTGGCAAACAGAGGCTAGAGACACCATCCCTGTCTGTCCTGGCTCATAGTCATTGATGGACCTATCCTTCATGAACTTATCTAGTTCTTTTTTGAACCCTGTTTTAATAAACTGAGTTAATAAACTCTCTTTATTATTGCTAAATTCCCCGTGCTGCTATGAATACAAAACCTGCTGATAAACCATATCAGAAAAATTAATATTACAGTTTTGTAACATTCTACTCAATGTTTTAACTCTTTCTAGTAATAAAAAGACACATATATAATAAAGAGACAGACTCTGGGACACAAGTATTCTACATTATATCCCATTCCTTGTCAACCTCTTAATTGTTAGTCATGACAGCTGTATTCTGTAACTTTGCAAGCCTTCTCATGTTGACAATAAATCCCACTGAGGGAAAGTCAATAGTAAAGAGAACTAATGAAATTCGGCTATTTGTACAACATGTGTTATTGTCTTTCCTGTGCATTACCAATAATTGGCTAACAACCCATGAAAGATTTATAATTATGTAGTTAGTGGCTCTGGAACAATTTGTATAGTGGGGTTGCTGAGAACCATTAAACCAAATTGTAAACCCTTTATATGATGGAAACCACTTCAAGCCAGGGGGTGTGGTAGCACCCTGAGCACCCCTAGTTCTGGCACCTGTCTATGTAGAACCATTTGGTCTTATACCCCCAGCAGGCTACCGTCACTGGAGGGCAGTGAGATCTCATGTTTTTGCAGAGGTCTGATGTACTAGTTGGTGGACCTAACAGTGGTATCCATATGTTGGTAACACATCCTAGCTATTTGAAAGACTGTATGTCTCCCTCTCAAGGGGCCGTGACTCAGGCTGAATCAGCCAAGTGACTTCTGTAACACAGACACACACTGTGTGGCCACAGCCACTCAAGGAAGCTGCACTCGCCAGTGACAATGGCTCTCTCGACAGGGAGAGTAAGACGGAGCTTTTTCAGCAGGAGGCTCCTGACTGTGCCACTCCATTACAGAAGAGCTGAGGATGAAGGTACTTGTGTAGTAATATGTTTGCTGCATCAACAACCTCAAAATTATACTTGGTCCATGCAGGTGTTCTTTATGTTAGACAGAGTCTCCAATGCCGGCAAGAAATCAAGACACTATCCAGACCAACATTCCTTTTCTTGTATCCCCACAGTGCATAGGGGTAGTAGTGAGGCATAGGAAAGACCATGAGCAAAGCAGAATTTAACAAGTGGAATAAGCAGCGAATTAAAAATCAGTCACGCTACATTACGTGTCTTTTTTTGTCTTTTAGTGTATAATGTTTAAGGTTAAGGTTTTGTCGCAGGTATTTTAGTAAAAGTCATGGACAGGTCACAGACAATAAACAAAATTAATGGAAGCCCACAACCTGTCCTGGACTTTTCTAAAAATATCCTGGGCGGAGGGAGACTAACAGTTGGAGCCCCACCAGGGGCTGACAGCCAGCTCCTGCTCCAGCTCTGGCCACTGCTTCTGGGGCAGGAGCTGACCACTGGCCTTGGGGGCTGCTCTGACCCCAGGCCGCTGCTCCTCTAGCCCTGATGGCTGCTGCTCTGACCCTGGCGGCTGACCCAGCCCTTGGCTGCTGCTCAGGTGGCAGCTGCTGCAAATCCACCAGTCCCAGGCCACTGCTCCTGTGGTGGGGGCTGACTACTGGCCACTGCTCTGGTCCCGGACCATTACTCCGGCCCCGCCACTACTCTTGGGCTGGGGCTGACAGCTGCTCCAGCTCTGCCACTGTGGTGGGCTGAAGCTGAAGAAGCCACAGAGGTCCACTGGACTCACAGAATCCGTGACTGCCATGACCGAACTGGATCATAAGAACGGCTACAGTGGGTCAGACCAACGGTCCATCTAGCCCAGTATCCTGTCTGCTGACAGTGGACAAAGCCAGGTGCTTTAGAGGGAATGAACAGAACAGGTAACCATCACGTGATCCATCCCCTGTTGCCCATTCCCAGCTTCTGGCAAATGGAGGCTAGGGATCCTTATTAATGTTCACCATGCCTTTTATACCTTGGTACACTAAACCAAAATTTTTGTACTGCAGTTAATCCAGCTTCTTATACATCCTCTAGAACATTTAAAACTCAATAATTCTATAATCCATTAGGTAGGAACAAAACACCTTCATGATGTAAGAGTAAAATATTTAACAGGCTCTAATAAAGTAATATTCAATACACTTGTTTAACAGTTACAGACTATCCTATCCCCTTGGTCAAAGGCTTCTGCCGGATTTTTGTTTAGCTTATGTTGTAATTTCAGAATTTTACATACATATGTTTTGTCACTAAGCATTGCCCTAAATTTTGCAGGATATAGAGTTTGCAGTTGTTATCCTTGTGCTAAATTTCTTTATGACATTGTTTATTTTTTCACTGAGGCTGAAGCTGATCCTTTAGGCTCAACCCTGTGTGAAGTCATTTTCCACTGTTACAAAATTGCAAAAAAAAGTTAGCATTTGATAACCACACAAAAATGGATATTCGTCAGCTAATGTGTAGGAGTTCATCAGCAACATATCCAAATCATTGGGGTTCTGAGACACTTTCCACCACAAGCATTCTTTTGTCCAGACCTTGTTTGGGCACAATATTCAGAATGTCTACCAATAGTCAGATAGAAAAGGTGGGTGAGGTAGTATCTTTTATTGGCCAACTTTTGTCCAATCAATCATTCTAGCATTAAACAATTATAATCTATAGTTGATGGGAACCATATCCTGAAAGAAATCTTTCCTGAACCTCCTCTTCTGGCCTTCAAACAATCTCTCAACCTCATGAAGCTCATCATCAAAAGCACGCAGGACACACCAACTCAAAGTGGCACCAGTCCCTGCCAGACCAACAGGTGCAAAGCCTGAAGATATATCTCCACTACTATAATGATCAACACCCTCCACAACACACCGTTCAAGATCCATGGGTCCTACACATGCCTATCACAACATGTGGTGTACCACCTCCAGTGCACTAAAGGCCCCAATAACAACTATGTGGGTGAAACCAGACAATCACTACACTCTCAAATGAATGCATACAGAAAAATGATAAAAGACAAAAACATCATCTGACCCATAGGTGACTATGTTTCACAAAGTGTTCACTCCATATCTGACCTCTCAGTCCTCATCCTCAAAGGAAACCTGCATGTAGGATAAGTATAAAATTAAAGAGTTAAAATTAGCTTATTGGTTAAGAAAATGTATATGTGTTGTAAGGAAAGGTCCTGACTAGCAAGTAGAAGGCCTCAAGTCATAAGGCCAAAAGGAATGAAGTAGGGAGGGTATCTGGTTCAAAGAATAACAAATGAAATAAGAGGAAGTTTCTAAAAAGAAGGCCTCTGACCGATAGGGGTGACTGTAGATGGTTTAAAATCAAACAAAGAATCTGTCTTAAAATGAGCTAACACGGCCCTTTCCCACCGCACATATCCACGTCATCTCCTATGTGAACCCAGGTTCAATGAAATAGCTGTTGGTCTTCAGAAAGGAGGGGAAGAGATAAGGAAGAAAGGCCTTGGGAAGGAAGGAGGTTGTAAATCTTATCTGGATTAAGACTGGAATTAAGGGTGAACCGTCTCAAACTGGTTTTTATTTGAAGTCATTAATTGGCAATGACATCACTTGTTTGTTAAAGAGTATAAAAAGTCATCTTTTAAAGGGTTCATTGCTAATACCTGCCTGCCCATTCTGGAGCCAAACAATATGGGTCTCAGCACCCCTGGGTTCAGCCCGTTTATAAATATCTTCATCAAATGCTTATAAATGTTTTGTTAGTGTTTGGCTGTAGTAAAGTGCTGATTAGTTAGACTTTTTAAGAGCACTTGCATAAAGTACCATTTGGCCTTTGAATCATAGAATATCAGGGTTGGAAGGGACCTCAGGAGGTCATCTAGTCCAACCCCCTGCTCAAAGCAGGACCAATCCCCAATTTTTGCCCCCGATCCCTAAATGGCCCCCTCAAGGATTGACCTCACAACCCTGGGTTTAGCAGGCCAATGCTCAAACCACTGAGCTATCCCATAAAGGCGTGTATGGTTAAATTAGTGTTGGTTGGTTTTCCATGAATATTAATAATTTCAAATATTATTAATAATCCCAACACTGCACAACACCTTCAAAAGACGAGCCTGGGAATTTAAATTCATAACTCTGCTAGACACCAAAAATCCTGGACTTAATAAAGACACTGGCTTTATGGTTCATTACAACAATCTATAACCCACTAATCCGCCTTTGTTGTATGAGTTGTTAACGTCACCTGGCACGGTCTCTTGAAACATAGGTTATCACTTTATTCCACCCTTGTATTTAGCTATGACACTCCAAGTACCTTTTCCAGACCTGAGGAAGAGCTCTGAGTAGCTTGGCAGCTTGTTTTTTTCACCAGTAGAAGTTGGTCTAATGAAAGATATTAGCTCCCCTGTAGTAGTGGGATTTTATGTTTGTATTTTATATAATTTAAAATAAAAAAATAAAAAATAATAATGTAGCATGTATTAAATGTATTGATGTATGGTTTGATCATATCCTGCCAGCCACCCTTTTTCAATAACAAAAAGGAATGACCTAATGGGCCAATGGGTAGAAATACATCAGCCAGAATCTGTGTATGGACTGATTTCAAAGCAGTAACAGATCTTTGAGGGTCATCAATTCGTTGTAGGTTTCACATTTTAAACTAAATAAAAGAATGCCATGATTGTTTTCTTTTGCAATGCAATTTGATGTTCCTGTTCAAAATGTTCTGTGTAAATTAATTCTGTTTTGTATGTGAATAAGGAATGTATGTGTTAAGAGATAAGTGTAAAGGTCATCGCTGAACCAGAGGTATGAGGGAGGAACTGGAGACCGACACAAGGGCACCAGGAGGCTGCAACACGCCCCTATTGAAATGTCAAAGGAGGGCAAATTAATGACTCTAAAAATAAAGCAAGCACCTATGAATGGGAACAAAACAGCTGTAATCAAAACTAGCATAAAATAACTCCCTAAAAATGTAATAAAAAACAAACTAAAAAAATTTAAAAAAAAACAATTTAAAAAAACAAGCGCTCATCAAACAAAAATCAATTACAGCATGATGGTGCAAAACTCATTGGTCCCAGTGAAGGAAAATCACTATATAAATAGGGTACCTTGCCATGAAACTTTGGGTTCGTCCTGCCAAGACTTCCCTGGAGCATCGTGTCGCAACCTACAGAACCCAGCTCCTCCCTACCCGTGATCAACCTAGCTGGCCACTAGTTTGATCCGAACTCTAACATCAAGTGGCGGGACAGTGTGTGTGGTGTGATTAAATGCATATGCTAATTGTTATATCTTCAATAAATGCGATGTATTGCTTTTTCCCCTGAAAAAGATCCCGTGTGCTTCTTATAAGCATAACACCCCCACCTTGTCTCTCTAATATCTTGGGACCAAATCAGTTATTAGCGGACATGGATTTATTTGCATGATGTGGAGGAAAGAAAATCTATTTCTCATAAAAGTATCTCAGTGACTGTGGTGTTTGTTTTAAGTTGCTGCTATGTGGTGACCACCTGTTAAGCAATTCTCCAGTCTTTCAGGCGCAAGCCATGAGATCAGTTTCAGATTTTCAAGTCACAAGCGCACGTTCTAGAGAGCCACTGGGAATAACAGGCTGAAGGAAGAGCAGGTAAGTGGAACATGATCTGGTCAATTCAAACCAAGAAAAATGACACATGCCTTGGCTTAGACTTGAAAGTTTTGAGAATTGACTGAGTCAGAGGAAAGTATTAGACCAGTGCAAAATCTCAGCGGATCAATAAATTATGTGTGCTGGAGGCCTCTTCCTCTTTGTGCAGGAACAGGTGCAGAAAGCATCTTCTCAGGGTTACCAGTGAGCTCATGTAGAATGTTGCCTGAGTTACACACCACCTTTATTAATCCACTTCTCAGCCACTTGTGTGAATAATTGGTTGGAGGAGCCAGTTAGTTTTCAGGCTGGCTGTTTTCAAGTGAGCAGTTGTTTGCTACTAACAGTGCTATTTAACATAAAAAGCATTTTACATTTCCAAACCACTGTACATATATTACTTCTCACAGCACGCTTTTGATGCAGTTATTACCATCTCCATTTTATTGCTGCAGCGTTAGGGGCTTTAAAAAAAAAAGACATGGCTAAATGTAAGTTACCATGTTATGGACTTATCGCAATCTGACATCAGCTGTGATGTGACATACTCCATCGCCTAGCCCTCAGATACCACCATGCTAGAACTGCCTTATGTTTGCATGAAAGGGGTCGGGGGAAGGTTCATTGGCATTCCTTCAAGGCTCACAAATTGTTGACACAAAGAAGGCAGGATACAGCTCTTTGAACCCAATTCAGGGCCAATAAATGCGAACAATTCAAAGCTGAAACTACTTGGCAGCTGTAGACTATTTGATCCCTTTTCTGTTGTGCCAGGAAAATGTTTTCCCTTATTGTGGTTGTCCCTGCAATAAATTAGGAGCTTCAAAACATGCAAAGGTCTCCTTAATAAAGAGCATCTTCTGTATAGTAAGAACCTAAGAGAGACTGGAAAATTCAGGTCATGCAAGAAGGTTGAGAACATCTTGAGAGGCTGATTTTGTTTTGATTAGCCAGTCACTATAGTATAAAGATGCTAGACAGACAGTAATGTACTTGGAATCGCAAAAATAAATAAATAAATAATGTCCTGCAGCCAGGCAGCGAGCTGGTAGACATCTACGTGAACGGGTGTCCGAAGTGTTAGGCAACAGGTCAGCTGCTAGAAATGGCCAAGACACATGTGAGGGAAACTTAGCCATTCATAGATAACCTATTGTGTGGTGGCATCAGCTACCCTCTTCTTGTGTATGCAATGGCTCCTGCTGAGAGGACAGCCCAGCCCATGCTCAGATACAGGGGCTAGCAAACAAAATGAGACAGCACAGCTGTGAGCAGATGTTTGTTGACTAGTGGCTTTTGGATCGTGGAGCGATGACCCATTTCAGACCCATGTTTTCTGAGGTATGTGCTTGTGGCTGGAGGTGACCTGCTTGTGAGGGAATGGCACACAGCCACCCCACAGATACAGATATCTCACATGTGCTGTGGTGTGTGCATGTGTGTGCGTGGTCTGTATCTGTATGGCATTACGTGTGGGATGGACCAGTCTTCATGGATATGCAGATGCTGCCTTCATAAAAGCAGCACAGCCGGTCCTAGACAGTGTGATTGGCTGCACGACTTTAGTAGTATCCTGAAGAGCTTGCATGGAGCTGTGTTGTGACCTGTCTCACACAGGGCTGTTACACTCCTCCCAAGGACCATGGATACATTTTTCCTCCAAATGCCACATTTTCAGTCACCACATACTTGACTGTGAGGATGTGGAGAAACCCTTCTGCTGCCCAGAGTCTGCTAATATAGCTTAGGGGCTAGAGCAGCCTTTGGTCCCACCTCACTTGATGCGCATACTTTCATGGTCACAATAGTGTGAAATGCTCACTGCTTTACTGCAACAAAGAGTAAGTCGTGAATAGAGTTGGGAATTTTTCAGTGAAATCAAAACTTCTGTATCAGGTTTGACAAATGTTGCGTCATGAAAGGTTTTCCGGTCCAAAATGGAATTTCTGGTCAAAACCAAGAGAGGACAAGAGTAGACACCCACCCCAGGATAGCTGGTAGTTTGAGCGTGTGGGAGACATCCGAGACCAGGGAGTTAAACCAGGGTCTCCCACTTCCACTAGGCTATTGGATATGGCTAGGTGGGCGTCTGTCTCTCTCTGCCTAATGCAGGCCAGGGACTTGAACTAGAGTCTCTGTCATATTCTGGGTTGCAATCCAGACCAATCAGGGTTGTGTCACCACCTGCCAATCAATCGTGGGCACCTCACAATACTTTGCAGCTGAAGCTCCCAACCTGAATCACTCACAAACAGCCTACCAGCAAGCAGGTCATGCCGTTGAGTATCTGTATATAGCTGCAGTCCTGGTACAGTAACTCCAACCCCAGCAGCCTGTCAGCAACACACCAACCACACTCTGGCTTCCAGCAGCCTTGATTACTACTTGCATGGTGACCCCAACACACTCCCAGGCCTGAATTTCCTCCCAAACCCATGTTCTGCACTGTCCAGCCCTCTCCTGGACAGTTCAGCTATTAGAGGGCCGTTGCCCCTGTAAGGGGTCAATATCCAACAGTTTGCTACTTTAATTGGAGTTACCCACACAACTCAGTTTAAACACAGCACTGGATTCATTTTGATTAAAAATAAAACAAGTTTATTTAATTACAAAGACAAAGATTTTAAGTGAGAACAAATACAAGGTATTAAAGTCCGAAATGGTTACAAGACAAATTAAGACAAAACACTTTCTAGTAACTAAAACTTAACAAGCTAGACTTGGTTCAAGGTAAAATCCTTATCGCGTGTTCCCAGCAACATTGCTGACCAAATTCTCTGGCCAGGATCCACCCCCATGAAGTGAAAGGGCTGGTTCCTTTGTCTCCTTGGCTGAAAGAGAGAGAGAGGTAGGGAGAGAGAACCTGAGGTGTTTTTGCCCCTCACTGTTTTAGACCAATCACCCTTTGAAATGAATCTTCCTGTGCGTTACCCCCTATATAGGGTGACCAGCCATCCCATTTTTAAAGGGATAGTCCCATTTTTTGGGACTTTTTCTTAAATAGGCGCCTATTACCTCCCACCCCCTGTCCCGTTTTTTCACAGTTGCTATCTGGTAACCCTACCCCTAGATAAAGTTCCTTCCCACAGTGGGGCTGGAGATATGGAGTCTCATGGTGAAAGAGGGTCCATGTGGTTGCTTGCTAAAATGCAGATACAGCTGTTCCTGCCCCCCTTCATTGCCAAAGAATGGCCACTTGGCAGGTGATTGGCAATCAACTTTGATGACACCTGGCTAGAGGCGTCAGCTTGTCCTTTGTCTTTGAGGAACAGGTTTACCCCCTCCCCAGACTTGTCAGATAAACACATTTCAGTCATAATTTCAACTTATGTCATAACTTTATATATAATGTTGCTACATAGATTTCACCAGATTTTTGATTATTGATCAGTGAGTTATTAATTTTCAAATGATACCCCACAAGGCATATTTTGTACAAAGATTATTACAATAGAGTTTGGGGAGTGAATATGGGGGATGCATTTGGTCAGTCTCCCACACCCACTTGCCCTAACCCCCAGGCTACTGGATATTCTGGGGTGGGCATCTCTTTTTTTGGTGAAAGAATTTGAAAGGTTTTGGTTTCGTCCCACTACAGAATGGGAAAATTTTTGAAACCTGGAACATTTTCAGGGGTGAGAAACCATTCCCCTCCGCCAACTCCAGTTGTGAATGTTGTTATCCAAGCTGCTATATAATCTCCAGTAAAGCCATACCATTTAAATATTAAGAAGACGAGTGTGAAAGCTGAAAAATCCTGCTTCACAAAGACACTTTTTGAGAGCACAAGGAGAAAGCAATAGTTCATAAAGCTTAGCATACTCAAAAGACAGACGCTAGTAGAAACTGACCTGCTCTGTTGAGCACCCATCTTCAAAAATCTAAATTTATGCTCATCTTCATAATCATGTGTCAACAGCGTGCTTATTTTCAAAGCATAAACAAGTACATTACACATCAAGAGATTACTTTGTTTTCTTGGTGGTGGATGTCTAAGGCAGGATGAAATTGAGTTCCACCACCAGAAAATAGATTGTATGTTGAGCTGGTCTTTGGAGAGGCTAGTGTAGGTATTTTTAAGTATGAATATAACATAGAGCCCAGTAAGATTCTCTTACATGGAGAACCAGACATAGAGATTAAAACTAATCAAAGACCTAAATGGTGAAGCAACAATTTAGATGCATCTTGTGATTGGAGCAGCTTGCTCAAATTGGGATTAAGGAGGAGGCAGAACTTCTCTAGTTGGAAACCCATTGGTTCTGGCATGGAGACCTGTCCAATTTAGAGCAGGAGTAGCTAGTCGCCTAGCTGAGGACAAGATTTCTGTGCGTGAGTAGGTACTACATTGTCTGTCTGCATGGCGGTCTGGAGATCTGAGGTAGTGAATCTAAACCACGCTGCAATAGTGCGATAGAAATCTGTGTGCCAACGTGTATGTATTTAATGTTCTGTTTTCCTATTTTCACAATAAAGTAAGAACATAACCCTTTGCAAAATAACTAAACCCCAGCTGGATGTCACCTGGGTACTTTAATTTTTAGGGGATTAGGCGAGCGGTGGATGCGATGGCAAGGCGGGTTTCTGGTCTTTGAGCGACAGGGCTGTGTTGGAACACATGCTTGCAGTGACTCGCTAATGACCAAGTCTCTCCATTCTGCCTTTGGGCAGC